CAGAAACCCATCAGTGCTGGCGACTGGGGAGACAAGGAATCACTTTTTCAAGCACAGCAATAAAAAGGCAGAGGTCCATCTGCCTCGCACCTGCATGGTGGGCGCGGTGAGGAAGGGCTGTCCCGGCGCCTGTAGGAACGGCTGCCTCCGAGGGGTGAAGGGCCGGGGCGGCTGGTTGAAGTGGAGAATCCCCACGGGACCTTGAGGCTGCATGTTGGGCCGTACTGGCCGCTCTCTGGGAAACACGGGTTGTTGTCCCTGCTGGTTAAATGCTGGCGCCGGCTGGGCGAACGGCATCGGGCTTTGGGTAGGGACGGGATGAGCACTATTAAGAAGTGGGGGAGGTGGCGGTGGTGGGGGGCTCCGCTGCTCAAACAAGTGATGGCTTGGGAACCTTGGATCTGCGGGAATCAGGTAAGTAATTAAATGACAGACTTCTTGAGACACAAATACTTTAGAAACACAAAGCTCCACTTTGATTTAGAAAAGTCACCTGAAATTTGTAGAAAGCAAAATTGTATGAGATGTTTAATTTCAAGAGCTACCCTCAAAGTTACATTTCTCTGGCTTCCGCCATCTCTGCATAAAAGGAACTGATGCTCAAAAGACCAGCACAACTGGTAACCTGATGGAATTAGGAAGACCTTTTAGAAATTCTACTCTAATAAAATCAACAAAGGGGGTTAAGAGTTTAAACCACACAAGAACTCATAAAACATACTGTTTGCTGACCACATATTGATAAAATTTTACATATTTTGTGTTATGTGTGTAAAATGTCTATAAAACATACATTGTATATATGCAATTACGTATATATGGTACATACACATATCTATGTATACATACACACACACTTACTACTTATTTTGTTTGCTATGCTGTGTCATTTCACCTAACCTTAATAGATCTCTTAGAGTACACATGTAGTCCAGCTGGTTTAAACAGTTACTGGTGGAAACCAAAGCGGATGGAGAGTAGTAGTTATCCAAAACATAACAAATTACAACAACTTCATTGCAATAATCACTTATGTACTAGTTTTATCTTGTACTTGTATAAACACACATGTTGATGGTAGGTAGCTACAGATAGAGACATAAGATGACATCAGGGAAGGAGAAAGATACCAGACCATCAGAATTTTGCTGATGTACTAGTCTGGCTACATCAAACAGGATCTCCAGGTCTTCAGGCTCTTCCAAACACTCCATGTTATTATATGATACATACATACACTGCATAGCCACTTCACAAAAAGTGGATTTTGTACGTTGATGGAAAAGAAAATGCTTACCTGCTATGAAGAAAGGATCTCTTTCCTGAGGAGGTGGAGGAGGGAGTGGTGGTGGCGGTGGTGGTGGCCCTCTCCACTGGTCCTGGATTGGCAGCCTTGGGGCTTGGGAGAAGTTGGTAGGAACTGGGCCAGGCGTATGCTGCTGAAAGTCTGGAGGGCCCTATTTAGTAAGGCAGAACTAAGATTAAGACTACCATCCAGGAATGTATCTATCGGCTGCTATAACTTTTTCTCCCCTCTTAAAAATACAATTGCTTTATTGTTTCCTATAATCTGTACAAATTGGCAACCCTTACCGAGTCATTCTTTCACAACAGAATATATATTAAACCCACAAACAGTATCTTGAAATGAATTCACAGTGCTTTGAAAATCACTAGCACCACAGGAATG